GACAATCATGAAAATTTAAAGCATAACCTAACAGATATATATATATATATATATATATATATATATATATGTATGACAACAGTGCTTTAAAAGGCTACAAAAATGAGAATAGCTATGGTGATGGAGATTATCACAGAGGATATTTGTGTGTCCCAGGCTAAGTGATTTTATCCCAAATGGATGCTCTAAATATCTCTGCTTACAGATTGGAGTCTTTGTCTCTTGATGCATGTTTTCTTCTGTGTCCTATTTGTAGCCATAGGGTACTATTAGGACATTTATATGCAATAATCTTAGTGAAGGTTGAGCATCCTTAATCTGAAAATCTGAAGTGCAAAGTGTACCAAAACCTGAAACTTTTTGAGGGTCAACATGATGTCACAGGTGGAAAAACTCCATACTGGATATTATGCAACAGGTCTCAAAATGCAGGTGAACTAAAATACTGAAAATTTAAAGCATAACGTAACAGATATATATATATGACAACAGTGCTTTAAAAGGCTACAAAAATGAGAATAGCTATGGTGATGGAGATTATCACAGAGGATATTTGTGTGTCCCAGGCTAAGTGATTTTATCCCAAATGGATGCTCTAAATATCTCTGCTTACAGATTTAAGTCTTTGTCTCTTGACAAAGAGACAAGATTACTTTCAGGGTTTGTGTTTAAGGTATATCTATATAAAACATAAATGAAGTTCATGCTGAGTTGAATCCTATCCCCAAGCTATCTCATTATATATGGAAAAGTCAATAATCTGGGAAGATATGAAATAGAAAAGGGCTTGTCCGTATCAGAACCTGTCACAGTGCCTGTTAATATGTAGCTCTTACATGTTTACTGAATGAGCGAAAAAAATAAAACAAGTAAGTTTCTCATTATGTGTATATAAATATTCCAAAATCTGGAAAAATCTGAAATTGCAAACATTTCTGGTTCCAGACATTTTGAATTACAGGATTCTCAATTTGTTCAGCACCCACTTATGCATTCTAGTTTTTCGATTTTATTTTCATTCATTATAGCCTTCTTCCATTGTCCGTACATCAGGATGAGGCTTCTCTTTTTATAAAACAGTCACCTCTATTACATTATCCCCGGTGATGGCCAAATGCATTTCTTAAAAGTTGCTAGATTTTTAATTTATAAACTGTCACAATGCATGAACATAGTTATTGAAAATCTTGGCTTCTGCAGCATTACCTTGCTTATGTTGATGTACAATGTTACACCCATTCATTGGGGGACTGATATAAAAAAGCGATAGACTGAAAAAAATGTGGGGAAGTGAGTGCAGGATGCCTGCTGCCTTGGGCACGGCAAGTTATCGGAAGCTGAGCAGGGATGACATCAGCATGCTTGACCGACAAGGAGTTGCCAATAAACCCTATAGGCCAAGGAAGTTTACTTCACTTGTAAATTTACACTTTAAGTAAATGTAATTGTCAGAGTGTGCTACTTTATGGGCAAATAAACTCTCCTAAGCTGATGTCCTATGGATAGGCCTGTGTGGGTTTGCGCAGATATGATGAAGGTATGCATTTAGATGAGCTGGATGAGTACCCAGAGGGAAGAAGGGCTTACAAAAAGATGATAATTTATGTTGTAGGACTCCGCTGCTCTTCTGTACTGCCCAGAGCAGTTTTGGGAGCAGGAAACATCAGAAAGTTGTATTCTCAGGTGCTCTTACTGATAATTTTATGAGAACACTGTTACAGGCAAATGAGGATCTAGATGAGAAGATTGGTATTTTTTACGCAGTAGTTTTTTTTAATGAAAGAAATAAAAGGGATAAAAACCAAAGACATGATTTGATTTAGATGCCAACACCACTTATTATCTGCAGTATAACTGCCAAAGAATAGAGAGGCAGGGGGAGGAATAAAGGAAGCAACATATTGATATATATTTTAAAATACCAGGAAGCTAAGGGCAAAATGAACTGCAAATTTCATTTTGAAAATGAATGTTTTGATATTTTATGAGTATTTTGTGATGGCATATCTTTAGTTTTTCTTTGTGAGAAAGGCATGGAAAAGTATATATGAAATGTTAGCATTCTTATGAGAATACAATTATTTGTTAGTGAAGGCTAGAGGGAAATAGAAAGAATTCCAGATTGGTCTGTCAGGATTTCAGAATAATATACTGATAGATGAAATTTAAAGTCAACAATAAGCAAAGCAATGCTTTTCAATAGCTATGTTTATGCATTGTGACGGCTTATAAATTAAAAACCTAGCAACCTTTAAGAAATACACTCAGCCATATAACAGAAGGATAATATGAGAGAAGTGATTGTTCTATAAAAAGAGAAGTCTGGACCTGATGTTATACGGACAATAGAAGAGAAAGTGACTTTGAAAATAGTATTTAATGATTATTACTTGGTGTATTTATATGTCACATAATTGAAAAGTTGTTATGGAACTAAATTTTTTCCCTCCAAATTTGTATGCTGAAAACCTAATGCCCAGTGCAATGTTGTTAGGTGAGGCCATTAGAGGTGATTAGGTCACATGGGCAGAACTCTAACGAATGGGATTAACGCCTTCATAAGAGATTCCGGACAGCTCTCTCACTTTCTTCTGCCTTGTGAGGACACAGCAAGATGGCTGTCGATGAGCCAGAACACCGTGCCTCACCAGATGCTGACACTGCTGGTGCCTTGACCTTTGCTTGCTCAGCTTATGGATGTGAGAAGTACATGTTTTTTGTTAGGCTACCTAGTTTATGGTATTTTTGTTATAGCAGCCCTAATGAACTAGAACAAAGGAGAAACATGAACCAGAGCAAACAGGAAATTATCTATGGGCTGGGTAAATTTTGGTAAAAATGTGGGTAGGCAATTATATTGACTACAAATTCAAATAAAAATAAAACAATTTCAAAATCTAATCTATTAATGTGGAATATTGTTTAAAAGAGCCAAGATAAATAATTAAGAGAAAAATAATGAAAATCAATTAGGTAAAATTGAAAATTTCATTTAAAAGTTAAAATGAGAAAAGTCAAACGTATCTTGGGAAATGTACCACTTTAAGGAATTTTTAGGAGGCCTGAAGATAATTCTAAACCTCAAAAGCAAACATTAAGACATTTGATCTTGTCACATATGATCTTGGACGAATCTAAACTTTGGAACCCAGCCTTTATTTCTTCTTCTATATAGAAGGGGAACAAATGGCTCTGAGATGCCCTCCAGCTATGAATTATTTCTTTCATTTGATATTACTGTGCTATCATAATGTCAAAGAAGCTTCCTCATCTGTCTTTTGAAGTACTAAACAGTACTGCATGCATTATAATTGGACATTATATTCTACTCCTCCTCTGACTTCATGAATTGTTTTGTCATCCCAGGCATAGGGAGGCCCTGAATTGTTGGTCAGAGCAAAGGAGCTGTGAACACTGGCTCCACATTTAGGAGATATTTTTTTTCTCTTAATTTTTTTTCAGCGTATAAGGGAAAGAATATAGGCAGAGTAATCAGAGAAGCCTGAATTTGAACCATAATTAATGTTTACCAGTTGATTGCAATAACTACTGTTTCCTTATCTGCAAAAATAGGGCTACTTTCCACTTTGAAGAATGAGATTATTCAGCACTCAGATCAATACATTTTTGAAGTATTTGTTCCTTTGCTCCTTGTTTATAATCCGCCAGGGCCTAACTAGAAAAGAAAACAGATTTGATTATTTTTGGATTCTTAAGCCAAAGAAATCACTGCTGGCTTCCAATAAAACCTTCAAACAAAACGGAATGAAGCAAATCTCACAAATAATAAAAATCAGCCACACTGACAGGGTTTGAATACCAAAGGAGATCTCAGCGAATAGGTATTAAATGAAGGTACACCTCCAGGATTCTCCTGCAGAACATTATCAGTGGTCATTTCTTTGCTTATATAGATTTCCAGAATGTCATGGGAAAAATGAACTCTCATTTCAGTATGCTAGGCTTCGAAGATTGAATATAAATAAAGGCAGCCCTGGTGTCTAGATGCCTGGAAGGCTGGAAAGGGTTTAACTCCCCAGGGGGCCGTGCTCAGAGCCCCCAGCTCCTCCTCGGTGCCGGGGCCTTAAGGGTCCCCTCTCCTTTTCCTTTCTTCCTTTCCATCTGAGCTCCTACTCCCACCCCATTTGGCTGCTTCACCTTTCCTATCTTCGCTTTCTCCTATAAATGCTGAAAATGGGAAGCGGAAGAATCTGCTTCCTTGTTTAGTGCTGAAAAGGGTTTTTTAATTACAACAAAGGTGGTGGGGGGGAGGAAAAGAAGAAAAGAAAAAAAATATCCCCCAACAAGGTTCTTCACTTCGCACAGAGTCGGAACGTCCGCTACTCCCCCGGGCGCGCTCAGAAGAAAAGCGCCCCCATCGAGTCGTTTGCTACTGGGAGAGGCTGGGGTCTGAGCGGCTGGCGGGGTCGAGTGTGCTGCGGCAGGGCAAGGTCCGGGGCGAGCGCACCCGCTCGGGAGCCCGGGAGGCGCGTGCGGCGCCGCCCCCCGCGCAGGGGGAAGACGCGGGAG